CAGCTCTAGCCCAGATCCCATGACCTCTTGCTTCCTTTGATAACGGCTTCCCCAGTCTCTGGACCTGAACCTGTGGCAGAGACTTCTACTTGCTTCTTTCCAATCCATCTGCCTCTTTCCTAGGAACAGATCCCTCATTTCATGGAGTTTGACAACGCTCTCTGTGAAACATCCCTGTCTCCCCAGTGCTCGGCCGGGTGCAGCCATATGACTGAATTCCGGCTGAGGAGATACAGTAGAATCTTTTGGGTGAGATTTCTGGAAATCCTCTCACAAAGAAGGACAGAGATCTCGACCAGGCCACTTGCTACCCTCCCACCATTCCTTTTCTCTTGTGGCCTGGAATTTAGGAGCGATTGCTGGAGCTCTGGCATCCGCATTGAAATATGGAAGATTGAGAAGTAGATGAGAAAGGCACTCAGGCCTGATGATTCCGTGGTGCTGCCACACCAGCCCCGGATTGCCCCCTGCAGGTCCATTTACTAACAGGGAAGCACACTTTTCAGTGTGTGGGCTACTGCAGCCAGGTCTCTGGACCTAGCAGTTGGACACAGTTCCTACCTGACACAGAGCCCACGCCTGCCTGCTGCCAGCTTAAACCTGCTAAGAAGGCACATTTTGAGGGCTACTTTTGTGTCACCACTGGTGCGGGGATCCAAGGGTCTTCAGGAAACACCTAATCCTGCAGGGCAGATGCAAGGACCAGCAATAGCCTCATTTTAACAACTGAAGAGACCAAGGCTCAGTGTCATTCAGTCAGCAGATGTCAGAGTAAGGACAAGAACCAAGGTTCAGATGATGTTGAGGAATGACCAGGGATGGGACTGGGACTGTGGTATGAGCTATAGGACTTGGAGATTTCACACATGTATGTATGTGCGTGCATACAAATGCTCACACACATGCATGCATGTATGTGCGCGCGCACAGACACACATACACAACTGGAATCTAGATGGGTACCTGTCTTCATACCATCCACCCTTTTCTGATAACAAAACCCTTCTGTTCTGGGAACTCTCCCTGTTCCAACTGAAGCTGTCAATCACTGGACATATGACCCCACTGGGCACTTGATCCCACCCCCCTGGACAATATGAGGGGTTCAGAAGTGGCCCTGTAACACTCAGACAGAGTTCTTTGGGGACTGCCACTTATTCACTGTACTCACGTAGGCCTATCTGCATCTCAAAGGCTCTGTCTCCTTAACCACAGAATGACAAAAATCGATTACCTGCTCCCCTAGGCAGTTGTGAGGATGAGTTAAAACAATTCAGTAAAGAGCCTGGTATGTGGTGAATGTCCCTTTACTATTAGATTTCTTGGGAAAGCTCTCATTTCTCTGGACACCATCAGTCTGTAGCGTAGAAACTACGGTTACAAAAAATTGACGATTAAGTTCCCAAATCCCACTTAAATCTCGTTCATTAGCTCATTTGTTCCCCATCACACAGACAAGAGGTTTATATCTCTGATTTTTGGAAGAAACACTTCAACTGATTTCAGTGATAAAAAAAACAGACTTGTCTCTAAAAGAGCAAATGTAACTGATGAGATTAATAAAACCAACATTTCTTCTCAATCTGGCAATCTTAAAAACTAGAGACATTTTCATTCCCACTTGAATCGAGAGTCCAGCGACCGTGTGAAACACAAATGTTTAGATGTGGTCATGGTATTTATTCATAGTATATGTTCACAACGTGTTAACAATGGGGAACAGCATGTATTCATACACTGAGTATAACTGTTCCTGGCGCAGGCTGGAGCTTGGGGGGTTGGAGAACACTGCCAGGTTTTTCATAATCTCTTTGGTTTCTGGAAGTGGGCAGGATCTGCCAGGGGGTATTGGCAACGAAACCCTTTGATCAGGTTGGAAGGGCAGAAAGACCATGGCTTTGGCACGTCCGTTGTGGAAAGAAGTAACAGAGTGGCTTGATGGACGATGAGAACGATGCAGGTATCTTGTACTCCACAGTCCATTTCTTGTCACAAATGCCGATTGCTGCAGCAACCATGAACAATGGCAAGGTCTTAGGCTCACGGCCTGAACAGAAGTCATGTCACCAGCCAATGTTTTCATGCAAAAGGCAATGACTGAGCACCTGGTTGTGAACGTCTCTGGGTATTCTGGGGGTGCCGAAGGTCACCCCATCCTGTGCATCCTCTGTTTTGCAACTGGTAAACTTGAACATCGTCTCAGAATATCTTGGCAAATGCTGAGAGGACCTCACGTTCTGTAATGAAGTTGCTTGTGGGGCCCTCCGTTTAACCGCAGAGGGACTGAGGCACCATAAACTGAAGCAAAGCATATTAATAACAATAACAATAAAAAGAACAGAGTACAACTCTCTTCCAAAAAAGGCATGTCCAAAAATAAGAGTAAACAGCTGGTCTCATTCTATCCAAGTGAATTCTGTCCATTGGAAAATGTCCTTTGGTCCCTCCCTTATTAAATGTGTTTACATTTCTGAGTCTGAAGATCACTTAAATACACACTATTAGCACCAAGGCAGCATTTTGTTCCCAGAGATCACATGAAACTGAATAGATACTTAGCGTAATTAGTGGCTGGCACGATCTGTGACATCACTGAATCCCTTATTGGCTAATGATGCTTTCATAGAAATGCGAAAAATACCCCTGTAGCACCTTGAAGACAGCTAGATTGTTTTAAAAACAAATTACAATTTAAAAAAATCAACAGTAAGACATTTACATGTAGGAAGTAAACAATAGTGTACCGTGATGATGAAGGATCACTTTTGTCATATAACTACATATAATGTAGAGTACGTAAAATGCAGTGGTCTGACTGCAAGAAACGACGTAATGCAAAAGGCAGTCATAATAGAATCATTTTACGTACAAAAATATTACATCACAATAAATAATTTCAAACATAAATATTAAACTTTACATCATTAGGATATTCCACAAATATACACACATATATACACAGATATGTGTGTATATATGTATATAAATGCATATGTATATGTACACACACACAGAAGCATACGAGTCCACCCACCCCCACACGCACACACACACGCGCACACACACGCACACACACACCCAGATTTAAGGTGGAGGTATTGCATTACTATCCTTCATCCATCCCATCATGGCTTCCTCTTCAGAGCACCTGAAAACAAACGAACCAACCAAGAAAAGTAAATCTTCTGTCTCAAGTGCCATAAGTCATGAGTAGGCAATCCATGCATTTTTACATACAGAATACAAAAATCATACATCATTCTCTTTAGATTTTAAAAGTAATGTATGTTTTCTATAAGAAACCTGTATATTTTAGGAGAGCATAAAGAATAAAAAATCACTAGCCTGAAATTCCCACCTGAAATAATACTTCAAATGTTGATATAGTTCCTTCTAGTATTTTTTCTATATATACGTGTTAATATTATGTAAAGCACACATAAACATTTGCTAGACATAAAATATATAAATACACATATAATGGGATCTTGCTGCCTTTGCCTGCTTCATCCCATCTCCCCATTTCTGATAACAAATTCCTTGTGCTTTGGGAACTATGTCTCTCCCAAATGAAGCTGTCAATCACCCAGTTCTAGGTGGGTACATGATCTCCATTTTCTGGGCATTGTGATTGGTTCAGAAGTGGCCATGTGACCCAACCAGAGCCAGAGTTCTTGTGCAGAATGGATGCTGGAGGTGAGCATCTATGAGCTGTGGGGTTGATGGAAGCGAAGAGCTGCCTGGCAGGGGCGTGGCTGGGGGAGATGATCTAGCTGAGAATGGAGGCGTTTAAGAGACACGCACTGCTGGAGAAGGAAAGAGTCCTGACGACTCTGGATCCAGCCTAAAGCTAGCCCGCTGCTTGGATGGCCCAGTTATTTAAGACAATAAGTTTCCTTTTGTTCTTCTGCCTTTTGCAAAGGAAATAATCCTAACTAAGGTCATAATTTTGAATATAGATGTTTAATTGGACACTGCAATACTGCGTTGTAAATGTCAGCTAGGTACTCCTGTGTCAGGATCCTGAAGAGCTTCGCAGGATGACGGGCTGCTGGAAATTGACAGTTAGTGGGTGGTCCTATGAGTAGGCTGAGCTCATCCCTTGTAGCTGAAGGCACAGGAAGGAGAAAAGAAGTGACCGATTCCGTCCTCTGCCAAAGCACCTGCTAGCATACTGTATAGTCAGACCAGGGACTGCCGAGTTTTAATATGCATGACTCTCCTGAGGGTTTACAGAAATGCAGATTCTGGTTTCACAGGTCGAGGGGAGGCCTGAGAGTCAGCATTTTTAATAGGTTCCCAATGTGCGCTGAAGGTGTGCAACATGCAGGAATCAAGAGCAAGGACTGGTGTAGGACCTGCCCAGGTCTTGTCAAAGGGACTCATTGTGCCCCTAGGCAAGCTACTTAACTGGTGTAGGCCTCAGCTTCCATTTGTAAAATGAGAATCACAGCCCCATCTTGTGGCTTTCTTGTGAGGAATCAATGACATAATGCCTGCAAAGTGCTTAGCATGGTGCCGACACATAGCCAGGGTGCAGTGAACACCCTTAATATTATTATTATTATACTCCAGGCAGTATTTTGCAAAGGTTGATCTGAGTCACCTGCATCAGAATTCTTTGTACCAAAAATACAGATTCCTGGATCCACCAGAGACCTAATGAAGCAGGACTTAGAGAGAAGAGCCCAATAAGAAGCAGTTTTATAAGCACTGCAAAGAAGTCTGATGCAAGAAGCCTAGGGACCTCAGGGGTGGAGGACACAGGAGCAGGAGAGGAAAAGGCAGAGAGGTATTGAGTCAGCCTCAAGATGCTTAACATTCACCTGTCTGCGGGCACGGACCTGGCCACATCTGTTAATCATTAGGCTACAGAAGAAATGAAATAGAAAGAGATAGATAGATAGATAGATAGATAGATAGATAGATAGATAGATAGATAGATAGATAGATAGATAATAGACAGACAGACAGACAAACACAGAATTCTCCTACCTTAACTATAAAATTTGAACCTCCAGGCCAGTGCCTGAGGACGGCGTACATTTTCCGCAGTAACCACCGCATGTTCCTACGACTCGGGTACCGTCCTGCAAGGAAATGCACGATTTTAGACTACCAGGCTTGCCCTGGCGTTTCAGGAAATCGTTCTTGCACGCACAGAAGGCAGGCCTTCTGAATGACAGCGAAACCCAGTAATCACCGAGGTGCAGAGCAAGCTGACAGTCTGTGGGCTCAGTGCAGCCTGCTACCCACTTCTGTACGGCCACAGGGCAAGAATGCTGTGCACATTTATTTATTAATTTTTTTTTATACTCACCTGAGGACATTTTTTCCCCCATTTTTTGTTCAGATAGAGTGGGAGGGAGAGAGAGGAAGAGAGAGAGAGAAACATCGACGTGAAAGGGACACATGGAGTGGCTGCCACCCGCACGACCAACCAGGGCTGGGAACAAACTGCAACCGAGGTACGCGCCCTTAGCGGGAACCGAACCCGGGTCTCTCTGGACCGCAGGCCGACGCTCTAACCGCTAAGCCAAACCGGCCAGGGCTTTATTAATGTTAATTTTTGATTTTTAGAGGAAGTGGGGGAGAAAGAAACATCAATTTGTTGTTCCACCTATTTATGCATTCATTGGTTTGCTTCTTGTATGTGCCCTGATCAGAGATCGAACCCACAACCCTGCCATATCAGGATGGCACTCTAACCAACTGAGCTACTTGGCCAGGGCGTGTGTATGTTTTTAAATGGTTATGAAGCAAACCAAAAATAGTACTTCTTGACACGTGAAAATTGTATGAAATTCAAGTGTCACTGTCCATACATTCTTACTGGAGCACAGCCACACTCATTCAGCCACGACGCCAGGGCTGAGCCGCTGGGCCAGCTCACTGCGCCACTTGCCACGCCGCACACCGCCACCGCGCAGACGTTGCTACACCAAAGCCTTCTGTTTTATTTTTTGTTCCCAGTGTATACCATCATGTCAAAACAAGAAAAGAAGAAGAAAGTGGACTCTGAATGTTACACTTTTAGGGTACAGTGATGGGTGGGTTATTCCATCATCAAACTGAGAAAGCAAAACGTTGCGTTTATCACCAGTGACGTCACAGCCGGGCTAGAAGACACTACACCAACGTGACCACATCCAGCCTTTGTCACAATATTCCCAACTCCCAGGAAATACTTTCTTTGTGTAAAAATGAAAACTGAAATGAGTAAGTTAGTTTCCAAGTGGCTCATTTGTTAGCCAAGCAACAGAAGCAGCTTACCTATGGTGAATAAATGAAATCTTGTTTTATTGCAACAGCTGAAGAAATGTGTCCAGAGAAAATAAACCTGTTTAAAACTATTACCCTTTTGCCAAGAACAGTTACTAGAAAAGTTAATGACACTGGCAGCTCATCAATTAATCAATTAAAAAAGGAGGCAAATAGCCCTGGCTGATTTGGCCCATTGGTTAAAGTGTTGGCCTGCGATCCAGAGAGGCCTGGGTTCGGTTCCCGCTAAGGGCACGTACTTTGGTTGCAGTTTGACCCCGGCCCTGGATGGGTCGTGCAGGAGGCAGCCACTCAATGTGTCCCTTCACGTCGATGTTTCTCTCTCTCTCTCTCTCTCTCTCTCCCTCCCACTCTATCTGAACAAAAAATGGAAAAATGTCCTTGGGTGAGGATAAAAAAAAATAAAATTAAAAATAAAAAAAGGAGGCAAATAATTTTGAGTGGTTTTCTTTGACTCTGAATGAACCGACAGATACTACTCATACTATTCAGTTGTCGTTTATGGGGGCAGACAGGGCCGAGTCGGATGTGACTGAAGAATTCACCCCAGTGAAGAGTCCACGTGGAACAAATTCAGGCAAAGAGATTGAGAAGCGCAGGTCACAGCTGAGCGAGCGGGGTCTGTAAGGGGGCTGCCCACCAACAGCGGGACAAATCTCGGAGCGGAAGGAGCTTCAGTGACGCTGTGTGGACAGCGTTCAAGTCTCTCCGGGGCACAACACCACAGCCCCACGACGGGCTCTTTGCTCTCATGAACTTAATCAACCGTCATCGGTTTGTAAATCTTTCATCAGATCTAAAAGCCAAACGCCCTGACTTGTCCTACTGTACAGCAGTTTGATGACTTAGCAGTGACTAAGTTTTATGAGTTTTTGAGCTCAGGGCTGGGTTAAAATTTTCCTGGACAAGAACTGCTCTCAATCACTAACTGATCAGCCAGTGGCTTTGGACATTAGCTTTGCTACGACTTGACAGTATTTCTTTTTTTTTATTTTTTTTTTATAATCCTCACCTGAGGACATTTCTGCATGTACCTTCAGACAGAGCGGGAGGGAGAGAGGGAGGAAGAGAGAGAGAAACATCGATGTGAGAGAGACACACTGAGGTTGCAACTCACACGACCCCAATCGGGGCAGGAGACAAACTGCAACCGAGGTATGTGCCCCTAGCGGGAACCGAACCCCGGCCTCTCTGGTCCACGGGCCGACGCTCTAACCGCGGAGCCAGACCAGCCAGGGCTGTTAGTGTTTCTTCATGAACTGACCCTGACACTACAAGGCAAAACTGCCACCTGCAACCACACTCACATGTGGCGAGGTCATCTCAGTAGCGACTGTCATTGTTCGAATCATCAGTAACAGTGAGCCATCTGATGAGCTTCGCCTTCTGTGAAAAGTGAAAACAAGAAGCTGCCTCTCCATCCCGCATACATTTATAGGAGATACTTTCTGAGTGTGATGTGCAGTCCCAGCAGTACTGTTCTGCAGTTGACGTACAAAAGGAAGTTTTCAGACTTCGAAATCCACTTAACGAGGCAACTGAGGACTTCCATCCCACTTCCAATCGCAAGTGATCAATCCGCAATGTAAAGATGTTAACAGACAAGTATTGAGAGAGAAATCTGATAGGATCTGTAAGTGCTTCCTGGGCACGAATATGCTCAATTAAAATCAGTGTTGGCAATGCCTATTTGTGTAAAAAAAATCATATACAGATAGAAATCTCAATTCTGATCAGCCATTTGCAGGGAAAGATTTATAATCAATTTTGATAATAGAAAACACTAATTAAGCAAAATAGTATCCTCTCAATATGCCATTCTCTTCATTGGCAGATTTTTCTTTTATTTAAAATTTTTTTTTATTTATTCATTTTAGAGAGAGGAAGGAAGAGGGACAGAGAGATAGAAACATCGATGAGAGAGAACATCGATTGGTTGCCTACTGCATGCCCCCACTGGGTATTTGACCTACAACCTGGGCATGTGCCCTGACCGGGAAGCAAACCAGCAACGTCTTGGTGCATAGGTCGATGCTAAACCACTGAGCCACACCGGCCAGGTGGTAGAACATTTTAAAAAATATACTCAATAATTATTATTTTATATTTAACCAATAAAAATTTTGTGCAAATATGATTTAACTCTGCATGTACAAACACACACACACATAATCATTTACTTTTGCCAGTTTGTCAGCAAAGTTTGAAATATTTACTATCTGGTCATTCACAGAGAAAGTTTTCCAACCCTTGACCTAAAGCCATGTGTGTTCTCTGCAGATAGCATCATTGCCCTCCACCCTGCCCCTCATGTCTGAATCTCTTTGGGTTGTGTTTCTGACAAGCTCCTCACAACACAGGGCCTTGCACATGCCCTTGCCCTATCCCTCCCCCTCCCCTCTCCCTGCAGCTCTCCCCTCCCCCCTTCCTGCAGCTCTCCCCTCCCCTCTCCCTGCAGCTCTCCCCTCCCCCCTTCCTACAGCTCTCCCCTCCCCTCTCCCTGCAGCTCTCCCCTCCCCCCTTCCTGCAGCTCTCCCCTCCCCTCTCCCTGCAGCTCTCCCCTCCCCCTCTCCTGCAGCTCTCCCCTCCCCTCTCCCTGCAGCTCTCCCCTCCCCTCTCCTGCAGCTCTCTCCCCTCTCCCTGCAGCTCTCCCCTCCCTCTCCCTCCCCCCTCTCCCTGCAGCTCTCCCCTCCCTCTCCCTGCAGCTCTCCCCTCCCCCTCTCCCTGCAGCTCTCCCCTCCCCTCTCCCTGCAGCTCTCCCCTCCCCCTCTCCCTGCAGCTCTCCCCTCCCCTCTCCCTGCAGCTCTCCCCTCCCCTCTCCCTGCAGCTCTCCCCTCCCCCTCTCCCTGCAGCTCTCCCCTCCCCCTCTCCCTGCAGCTCTCCCCCTCCCCTCTCCCTGCAGCTCTCCCCTCCCCCTCTCCCTGCAGCTCTCCCCTCCCCTCTCCCTGCAGCTCTCCCCTCCCCTCTCCCTGCAGCTCTCCCCTCCCCTCTCCCTGCAGCTCTCCCCTCCCCTCTCCCTGCAGCTCTCCCCTCCCCTCTCCCTGCAGCTCTCCCCTCCCCCCTTCCTGCAACTCTCCCCTCCCCCTCTCCCTGCAGCTCTCCCCCTCCCTCTCCCTGCAGCTCTCCCCTCCCCTCTCCCTGCAGCTCTCCCTCCCTCCCCCCTCCTCCTCGCGCTCCCCTCCCCTCCCCCTCCACTGCTCCTCCCCTCCCCCTCTCCCTGCAGCTTCTCCCCTCCCCTCTCCCTGCAGCTCTCCCCCCCCCTCTCCCTGCAGCTCTCCCCTCCCCCTCTCCCTGCAGCTCTCCCCTCCCCTCTTCCCTGCAGCTCTCCCCTCCCCCTCTCCCTGCAGCTCTCCCCTCCTCCCTCTCCCTGCAGCTCTCCTCCCCTCCCCCCCTCCCCTGCAGCTCTCCCTCCTCCCCTCTCCCTGCAGCTCTCCCCTCCCCCTCTCCCTGCAGCTCTCCCCTCCCCCTCTTCCCTGCAGCTCTCCCCTCCCCTCTCCCTGCAGCTCTCCCCTCCCCTCTCCCTGCAGCTCTCCCCCCCCCTCTCCTGCAGCTCTCCCCCTCCCCCTCTCCCCTGCAGCTCTCCCCCTCCCCTCTCCCTGCAGCTCTCCCCCTCCCCCTCTCCCTGCAGCTCTCCCCCTCCCCCTCTCCCTGCAGCTCTCCCCTCCCCTCTCCCTGCAGCTCTCCCCTCCCCTCTCCCTGCAGCTCTCCCCTCCCCCCTTCCTGCAGCTCTCCCCTCCCCTCTCCCTGCAGCTCTCCCCTCCCCCCCTCCCGCAGCTCTCCCCCTCCCCCTCCCTGCAGCTCTCCACTC